ATCCTTGACGCACCACTGCAATCTATACACTCGTGTTGGATGGTCTTCCCTGACCACGCGTAGACTGAAACATTGGCACATCCTTATATATAAGGCTATTCTTGGTGCTCTTCCCCCTTATCTAAGGATGTACATAAATAGAAAATGCACAAGATCCTATCGGCTTCGCTCCGAGAACTTTTTCCTTTTAACTGAACCAAAGGTCCGTACTGAACTTGGGAAGAGGGAGTTCAGTTACGCTGCCCCTCAAGCTTGGAACCTGCTTCAAACTGAGCTGAAACTCAGAGAGCTGGTCTCATTATAAACACTCAAAGCTACTTTAACTGACCTCAAAGCAGGCCGCTGTGTCTGTGAATGCTTTGGCTAAACTTGGTGTATGACTGCGTTGTGATTGTGTTTTTTAATTGTTTGTAACTGTAAAACTGTCTGAAACTGTGTCTGTTACCATTCTTGGGCCAGGACTCTTTTGAAAAAGAGATTTTTAATCTCAATGAGACCTATCCTGGTTAAATAAAGGTAAAATAAAAAAAAGATCTGCTATAACAATAGATAACCCCTCAGAGATCTCTGTGTCTCCTATCTGCCGGAGACTGTAGGCTCTTTATCTACATCTCTTTCAAACACTTTTACATCTGGAAGACCCTGTTCTGTTTTTACCTGTCCTCCTCTCAGGGGGCTTCGTGCTGCTGGACGGTGAGACGTTCGAGGTGGTCGGGAACTGGGAGCACCCGGGGGAAGCGGCACCATTTGGATACGACTTCTGGTACCAGCCGCGACACAACGTGATGATCAGCACCGAGTGGGGGGCGCCCAAAGCTCTGGCCAATGGGTTCAACCCGGACCACGTCAAGGAGGGTGAGTCAGCAGCAGGTTGCAGAGCACATGGTCCTCTGGTGGCATCGGCTCTGTGTGTAACCGCGGTTCCTGAGACCTGTCAGCAGCACAGGGTGCTTTGATCGGACCCAACTAAGAATCCAATTAGTGCGTCTGGGTCCTGAGTTCCTTTTCCAGTACACTTCCAGTTGGTAAGATAACATAAGAAGTACTTTAATGATCCCAATTTGGGAGCATAAAAAGACATGGAATTGTACATTAAAAATTTGAAGACTAGAAATAAACTATCCAAAATGTAAACATCTCTATAGAAATAAAATGGCATTAGAAAAAAAAGAAGAAAAAATACATGTTGAATTACAAATGTGCAGTAACACACTATAAAGCAGGATATTATATATATACTTATATGGATCTGTTTCCTAGTCTGTAACAAACAGAGTTCTGCTAGACTTCCAGTTCAGTGTTCCCCTCTGGACAGAACCAGAGCCTCGCTCAAAGGACTTCCTTGTTGTGGTTCTCAGGACTGTACGGCAGCTCGCTCCACATCTGGGACTGGACCAGCCACAGGAAGCTGCAAACGCTGGACCTTGGGGAAGACGGGGCGATCCCCCTGGAGGTCCGGTTCCTCCACGACCCAGACGCCACCGAGGGCTACGTGGGATGTGCTCTGAAGGGATCCGTCTTCAGGTTCTACAAAACACCTGTCAGTACCACAGGGTTCTAGATCCCAGTCAGACTTGAATCAGTACCACAGGGTTCTGGATCTCAGTAAGACTTGAGTCAGTACCATAGGGTTCTGGATCTCAGTAAGACTTGAATCAGTACCACAGGGTTCTAGATCTCAATCAGACTTGAGTCAGTACCACAGGGTTCTAGACCTCAGTAAGACTTGAATCAGTACCACAGGGTTCTAGATCCCAGTCAAACTTGAGTCAGTACCACAGGGTTCTAGATCTCAGTGAGACTTGAGTCAGTACCACAGGGTTCTAGACCTCAGTCAGACTTGAGTCAGTAC